AAATCAGAATTTACTGTTCTATAGGTGAACAATTCTTAAACAAAGATGAAATAACCACAACAACTTTATTAAAAATATCCTCCAAATTGGTTTCATACAACATAAAGATCCAAATTAGACAACAGTTGACCGTTATATTATTATATCATTTTTTTTTTTATTATTTTATGATTTGAACAAATTGAATCTTATATTTATACTTTATGATTAAGGTAATATTATTTTTTCTACTGTAATTATAATTTAAAACCAAAAGAATCATTATAATTTTGTTACCCTTTTATTAATATACCTAAAATATATGAATAAGGCATCTACAATTACTTGGTATATATTTTCAAAATAAAGAAGATATAAATATGTACAAATATAGAATTATACGACTATCATTATTTTGATATTTTATTAAATTTACATTGTAAATACCAAATGGTTACTATTGTGGATCAATATACAAGTATAAACCGCATAACAGTTTAACAACAAATTTCTCCATTTCAAAATTATAAAATCTCTCAGCATAATAATTATTAAATTAATAGTATCTACTTATTTCATAGTTTTCAAAATGAGCCAATAGTTACTTGATATCCAACCAGTTAATAAAAAATAATAATAAAAAAAAAAAAATAATAATTGATTATTGATGATATTCAGCTTTTAGCTAGAATCGTTGTTGTTACGTTATATGCATTTATAATGATGATAATTGTTCGTCCAGTACGTAATTAAAAACGACAGTAGCTAACTCGATAAAAAAAAATACCATCAGATGAAATATTTATTGCCGTTTATCAGTGGACCAGTTCAGCTACAAGCGTGTCAGGTTATGTGTGAGTACACTCATGAATATACGTATAATATATTATGTGTAATCCAGTTTCACCTGTGCTTAAAACAATCCCTACTCCTTCCATCTTCTTTTTTCCCCTGCATCATTATTTTATCCATTGGTACTTTTTTCCATTACAAATCCCCGCTGTGTCGGCGCTCTGATTTGCAGACGAGTTTTTTTCTTATAGACCAGTTGTAATGTTGCACTATAATAATGATAGGGTTTCACAGATAGCTTATCTCAGATGACCAACGATATGATTTTATTTTTTTTTTATTTTAACATAGTTGACCTCAGCATAAAATTTAAATCGATTTCTCAATTTTTTTTTTATTAATTTAAAGAAATATCCTATAATAGAAAACATCCCAAAAACCGCGTTTTTTATAATAAATATATGAAATCTTGACGTTGCCCTCTTCTCAGAAATACAACACTACTTTCACTGAAATAAATTAATGTTCGTATTCAAATTTATTTTACTCGTTCCGCTCGTTTACCCATTCAAATTTCAAAGTTTATAAAAAGAACAACAACAGTTTTTTTTTAAACTACTGATTTATTAGCGAACATTACTTATTTTAGTACATACATAAGTATGTATTTATTTTTGACCGTGAACATCTCTGTAGATTCCCTCGGGGGTTAGGTAGAGATCAAATCATCATACTAAACACAGTTAATTAAAGACATTCCGAAGAAATACAGAGTGGTACATAAATTGTCATTTATCATGAGTAGTATTAATGTTGTGCTGGTATTTACACACAGATATACGAAAATGTACTTAAATTTTGTTTGCAGGATGAAAAAAAACGAACTTCGGCTAAAACGAGTTCACAAAATGTGTATGCGAACATAATTAGAGACGTGCCGATTGGTGGTTACCTTGACTGCAATGAATATGCGGTATTATACGGTTCACGTGACTGTGAAATATTGCAACACAGGAACTAATATATAATATTATTCTGATTCAAATATATTTTGAATACACATCAACATAATAATCAAAAAAAAAAAACCACCCAATTAATCTTGATTTAAATAATATATCATTATTAAACCTATGGGTGACACTAGATCTAAACTTCAACATCCCAAAATGCCCATATGTTACTTATTGACAAGCAATGCCATTCTTAAGTAGGTATATCATTGTTTCCAGAAATGGTCAGACATGAATTAGATTTTGTCACCGATCACGATTCATTATTATTCTATGACACTTCACATTCAAAACATTATTGTGTAACAAATTATATCTGTTAGAAAATGTTGTCATCGAATTACAGACGAATGGTTCTAACCAACGACATAATATAAAGAATAAAAATATGGATTGAGCATAATGAGAGAATTTTTGGGAAACATGGTTGGAAAAAAATATTTTATATCTATAGAGGTTTTAATAAAATATTCAGAGGTTTATATGATAGTATTTACTACCAAAACGACATACATACACTTACAATTAGTAACAAAGATGCTATTGATTCATAAAATATTATAATAATTATAATTACTTTAAAATCACACAACATTTTTTTCGTTTATTATAATTATTAATCAAATATTATATATTCCAATTTAAGTCAAAACAAATACGTGATGGGTGGCTTGGCGTGGCGCGTTGGCTGCTACCAGTCGCGGAATACGACTGAGAGTAAGTAACTACCACAACTACTAGCTCCCGGATGGGTAACCACTCGGAATCATAGTGGTTAAAAATCTTGCCACACATACACGTATTTGCTATCAACCATAACAATCGTAAAATACAACCTACCGTACCAACCTTACCCCTTACCATATAGTTCATAACCCCTACAAACAGCTAATGGCCCTAGTTGCCGGGCTTAAGTTCAATAAAAAAAAAAAAATACGTGATAAAAAAATTATACAACTAATATATTATGATACTTGTGTTATTACCAGTGATGTATTGCTAAAAGAAACCGTGGTTATACGCCTTATTCACGTATATATACGTATATATAATAGAGAGATTCAGGTAGGGTCCAAAAAAATTTTTCTCGCTCCGCTCAAATATTACTTTTATTTCTCTTAACAATATACTACATTAAAAACAATAAATTATTTTATCAATTAATATTTCAAATATTTTACATTTTAAACAAAAATTTTTAATATAATCTTTTTATACACATTGGAATCATATTGTGCTACCACAAAAAAAAAGTATTATACAATCGACTATCGAGATATCGTAGTTGCAAGGTTATTGATGTATTATATTTATCTACAACTCTGATATGATACTTGATACATTATTTAAAATTGTTATATAGAATATACGGTAGATACGGCCGTATACCCGCGTATTATTAATTTGTCATAAGCTATACCTACTCCATGGATACAAAAAATAGCGTATTGGGGGGTATACGCCGTATACCTCCATACATCTCCAAAACACCACTGGTTATTACACAGTTACATATTTATTACTTTATAGATATAATATTATGGTTAACGTATAACAGGTAATTATATATATTTCTAATAAAGTAATAAAATAGTAAATTGAAAAAAATAAATTTATATATATATATACATCTATTTAAGTTTTATATGGCACATCAACCTTATCAATTCATTCTTGTGAACTTCACATTTTTTAGGTATGCAGCTTTTTAAAGTCCAATTTAATTTCTTATACATTTATCATAGTTTATAATGTATATTAATTACTCTAATTCAGAGTTCTGCGTCACATGTAAGGGATATATCGATAAAAACCGGGTCGATTGGGTCATGTGTCACACGGGTCTAAAAAGTCTTCGGGTCAAGGATTGCAGAGTGCTCGTGCGTTTGACTATCCGATATAATATATTTTTTCCTATTATTTCATACACACTCCCGGAGACCATAAAGGTCAAAATTAAATTATGCAATTCTATATCGAGGAAACTATTTAAAACAATTTAGTTATCTGTTCACGACCTACTGCCTCTGAGAATTCATAAGCTCCAACACGGATATAAGTCATAGTAGTTTATTTTGTATTAGAAACACAAATACAAAATTATTATACTATAATAGATATAATCTAATTAAAATAATATTAACATTAAACACGTATATAATGTATAAAAACAAAAAATATACCTATTTTAAAAATGTGAATATAACCCGAGCCTACAATACACAAAACCTCTTTAAAGCTATAGAAGAGCTTGTTTAATATTAACAAAATTACAATTATAATTAGTAATTAAATAAATTATGATTTAGCAGACTCCTCTCTACACTCAATGCCATGGTTCATATCGCAAGCAATTAATCGTAATTTTTCCTCTTTTTGGAAAATGACCATTGATATCGGGCTATTGTTTAACGGACACACACATTAAATAATAATGTCTAACTACATTATAGTGTACTCTCCTCGTGTAAAACGATAACCGAATGCACTGGTCAAATAGAAAACATACACATGATATCTAGTTAATGGGATTGAAAGGCCATTGAACTTATGACCCTATCCTATTCATAATAGAACAACCGAGACTTTAGATAACAAATGTCGGTTTTTGAAACGCTCGAGTGCTTTATCAAAGTTTAATTATTCCAAATAAAAAAACCTAGTGTAAAATTTAGATTTATATCGTTTACTATATACTATATAGTTTACAGACTTTCAATGTTTAATTGTCGATTCAATTATACTTTTATCACTACAATAATTATAATTATTTGTAAGATTAACTTCATATAAGCGATTTGTTTGAACCCTTTTATTATACAATAAACTTACGAATTAAATTTTAATTGACTTTAAGGTTAGTTATAACTTTCCGGTAGTAGTAAATAACTTAATTCAAAACATTTAATTGAAAAATATTTACATCTTATCTAGTAGATTTTTCTACTTGTTAAGTCACATTTTTTGTCAGTAAGTAAAGTATATTATTACACTTCTGATATTATTGTGAAAACTGTAAATACACGATATTAAGTTCGAATACGGTGTTTGATTAAAATTTATAATATTTTGATTATACAATCACCTCAGTTTTAAGACAAACACGTCGTGTACAACGACAAAACTCCAACGAATAAAAACAATCAACGGAAAACGACACGAAGATTATATTATTATTGTAACACAAGTATCTATATTGAATTATAATATTATTACCTGAATAACACCATGGAGGCCAAACGACTGGGCTGGATGCGTCCAAATCCCGCATCATGTTATCACCGGCATGATAGTCCTCGGTACACTCAATAAAAACAAGAACAAGAACTTTTATTAAAAAAAAATACAAACTGTTTATATTATATTATTTTAAAAACAAAAAACGCGCGTTATCTTCTTTAGACGAGGTGGACGTGTTAAGTAATCACTGCACACAAAAAGAAACACCAGAAACAACAGAATTCGAGCAAATCATGATACTAATTATCTTATTACGATCAGATTAAACGTCGTTAAAACGATTTTCCCGTTTCAACATCGACGCACAAACATACGATAATGATGTTATGAATCGTCGTAACAACAGTGTAAACCACGGCGCAAAAAACAAAAACAGTTTTCCGACGATAAAAAAAGAAAAAAAAAATTTAAAAACGTTCGACGAGATTTTATTGTTATTGTGAAAAAAAATCGGAAAAAAAACGACGGAAAACACAAGCGCGACGAACACACGTATGAAACTACGGACTGCGCGCGCGTCGTGTCGCGGATGAACTGGAGCGCGGCAAGGACGTTTGACCGTTGACAACGCGCGCGCCGGCAGACACGAGAGCAGAAGCGGCGGCAGTAGCGACACACACACACACACACACACACACACACACACACAACACACACAACAAACAAGACGTATATTATACGGCCGGCGGCGGCACCTGTACGAGAGCAAACAAGTGCGCTTGCGCATCAGCGGCGGCGGCAGCGGTCATCAGGTGGTAATAATCGTCGTCGTCGCGGTCGCCGCTGCCGCCGTATCGTGCAAGTGTCCCTCTCCGCCGTGGCCCGCCGCCCGGTTACCAGACCGCCACAATCCACCAAACCGCCGGTTACCGCGAACGGTAACAACAAATGTACGTTACTTATTATTGCTTATGTTTATACCTGCCGAGTTGCATTATAGGAAAATCACTATTAAACGACGCGCCATTCACGATAGTATTATGCACGATTTTGTTTTATTCTGTATGGGTACATAATAATATGATAGACAACTTTATTATAGTATTATAATATTATATTATTATGGTTAGGGGGAAACACGCCCAAATGCTGTGGCGCGAGTTATCATACGAGTATTAGTTTTTTTTTTTTTTACTCGAGTGCCAGATAAAACAATATAATAGAATTATCGCGCGCCCAAGTACCTCAGTACCTCTTATAAACACGTACTACACCTATAAATAACATATTATTACACAATTTATTAGTTAATCGGGTAACCTGTACAGGGCTATACTAAATTCTATACGCAATATGCATAATAATAGGTTACATAATTTTTTTTTAAATTTAAGTGTTTTTATAGCGTTTCTTTGGAAAACATTTTAAGAGGACACTTTTTCATGGTGTCATACATGGTCACAATGTGCCTCACCAAACATTCTCACCCACGTATTTTTTTCCTTATAATAATGAAATTCAAATTTTAGGCATTTCTAAACATATTCTATTGCGTATAGACCATATTTCCAAATAATAAATATTAAAATGTACTTAATAAGCGTAATTTATAGTTTTAATAATTTAATTGGTTTACCAACACATAAAAAAAGCTGTACTATTAGATCTTAATATTAATTTTGAATATAAATATTACCGGATTTATAACCGGACCTATTATCCGGAGTATACATAAAATTAAATAGATACTATAAAAATCTACTCATTTTAATATCGATTAAGATACATAAGACTTTTTAAAAAATCAATTGGTTAATAATTTTAAAATGAAAAGAATAGTTCTCACATGATAAAAAAATAAAATCGTATCATTATTAACACTCAAAATTAATACAAAATAATCTATTTTCATTAAAAATGTGGTCTTTAATACTTAAATTATTTAAGTATTTCAAAATTTTAAAAATCAGAATTTGAATAAATTATTAAAAAAAAAAAATGAGATTACCATATTTGGTAAATCATCTTGTATACGAACCTACTACCTATAGTCACCTTAAATTTTATATGATTCAAGTATTTTATAGAGCTAAAGGTATTCTATTAAGATATAAATTATAAAGTTAACAAAAATATTGAATCTATGTTATGAATAATTTCTCTTAATAACCTGTATGACTATATAACATGTATTTTCGTCGTTACGATATAATTATTGATTTCATCTCATAACATAATTAATTATGTAAGAAAAAAAAATTATAATTTTGTTTTCTGTATTATATTGAATGTAAATTAAAAAAAAATATATTAACTAAACTAAAATCGTTAAAAATACAGCTGCACGTTTAATAGGTTTTCAAACATACAACATACATAGACAATATAATATTATATTATTTTTGTTTTATTTTATTATTATTGTTTATCATGTGTACAATGTACAATATTTAGATATACTCTGTACCTAACAGGGTGAATCCAGTGTGGGTAGGGTAAGTACTCAAAGCTTTCCTAAAGCTTACACCACACACATACACGACTTAATATTTTTTCAAGAGATATTTAATTTAATATTTTAATTATTTGAGTAATTATTATAAACATTTAAAAAATGTTAATTAAAGCAATATCATTTATATTTATGAATTTTATAGTTTATGACGTTGATTTACAAAGAAATGTTAAATGAGTACATATACGCATTTATACAACTTATATAAGTGTGCGCGATTAGGAATTTGCTGTAAATACCTAACAACTTTTTCCAATTTATTTTTATTGGAACCTGAACATTTATAATAAATAAAGTTAATATTATACTAAACTTAAAGATAAGATAAATTTCAAATTATGATATTACTTTTATTTATTACTTTTATTTATTACTATTATTTTATCTCTTTTTTTATTATATTACACCATCTCTAAATGATAATTTAATAATAAGAGTTCTGGATTTAATAAGTGTACAAAATAAATATTTGTGTAACATAAATTCAGATGAATGCCCCTCCTCGCAGTTCATCGCTCTAGATCTATGCCTGGTACTTACAACTGCTTGTTACGGTTAAATAGATAAGCACAGATACAGATGACACACATGCAGTAAATATGCGAGTATTTGTATATATATTTAATGTAAACAATTATTTAAATGCATTTATACATATATGGTAATGGTATATAGAACATTTAAGCTGTAAATAAAATTAAGGAATATGTCATAAATGTATTCAATCAATTTAATTAATATTCGTTTTCTGTAACTTACCAATATCTATACTCTAGAGATATGAAAATTATCTAAAAAATTTTTTGTTGGTTTAAAGTGAGTACCTATGTCAGTCAAATCTATTTTTATTAACTATATTTTAAGATTTGTTGTTTTTAATTTATATAGAACTTTTAAATAGATATTTCAACTGATTAATACTTTAATTAATTTAGTATTATTACGTTTTAAAACTGAAAGTTAAATCGTAATAAATTGAACCATCTAATAATTATAATAGATAACTTATTATGTTTACTCATTAATAAAAAATATTTAAACGTGTACACTGTACAGGAAAACTATATATTATATTTTAAATAAATTAGTTTAAGCATAATTTAAAAAAATGTATTATCAAGTAATGTTTTTTATTAGTTCATAGTTTTGGAGATATTTTGAATGTTAATTATAAATTTTTAAATCTTCATAATTTAAGCTTCAAAGCAAATATTTTTGCCAATTGTCATATTTCATTATACACTATGGTCATTACCTAACCTAACCTAACCTTTCAACACATAACCATTTCACAATTACTAGCATAGTAAAAATTCACTAAACGTGAAAGCCTGGTATTCAAAATATTTTATCATTCTATTTTTTTTTTTTTTTTAATTATTTAAAGCATTAAGATTTAGTCCATTTGAACCACTCTTTTTAAATTTAATAGTTTAATAATATAAATAATAAAATTTATTTATTCTAAATAAAATATAATAGATATTGTTAATATTGATGAGAGAAAAAAGTCATATTTATTTTTAAAGCATACTATTATATTTTAAGTATTAAAAACCTCTACAAAAAATGAAGATAATATATGCTGGTTTTTATAAATGATAAAACTTCCATACAACGAATATTTCTTTTAAAGTTTTTTTTTTTTGTGTGTGATGATATATTTTTGAAAACTAAATTTATTTAATGCCGTATATAATATTCAATTTATTTTATTTTTTTTTTTTTTGTCATGTAACTTAGTAATATCGAAGATTCATTGTATTATTCTTTGCTAGGTTAGAATTCCTATCAGTCTTGTCAACTGCATCTCTCTATTAAATAACTTAACTTCATATTAATCTTAAATTTACTGAAAAGAGGTCGACAAAAAATATAACAAACAATAGCATACAAACGTTTTTATATGTATTATACATTTATAGGTACCTATACTCTATAGGTTAAATAGGTATATGTATATTATAGCAATAGTCATTCACTACTAAATGTTTATTAAATAATTTTCGTATAAAACTATTTATCACGATTGATTACTAACTAAAAACAATAGCATTTAACATCGTAAAACAAGGTAGTACATATAGCTACCAGTTTGTGTAAGCAATACATATTATTAATGTTTTTTTTTTTCACTCTTGTAACAGAAGAAGACAACACATTAGACTCGATTTCAAATTATACTTTTATAAAAGAAATACGATACAACAGTTGTCCCCTCCCCCCAAAACAAAATTTCTATTGCGATATCGCATACAAAAAATATACTTATAGGGTACCTCGCCTAAAAACCATTGTTTTTTCATCCTTTTCAAATCGAATATTAGTAACGGTATACGATTGTATGGAATGTCAATGCTCATTATTATTATTATAAAGCGGACCACAATAATAATAAGTGAGTGTTTTCTTTGATAGTCACGCTACCAATATCCTTGTGACCCATAGCAATATATAGGTTTCAGAAAATGCTACCTAATGTCCAGTACATGGTGGTAAGTATATACTATATTATGTATAGACTTTCTCGGTTTTAGTTATACAGGTACACTGCGTCGCTGCATATATTATGCATTCGTTACAATAATATTATAATTTTACAAATCGCACTTGTCCAGTTAATAAATAAATAATTGAACAAATACACAATATAATCAATATGATAAAACGTCCAAACGACATATTCTTTAGCTATTGATATAGCGTTTTGATAGAATATGTTTAAACGTATATAATTCGTGGTAATAAGTATAGCGTAACTGGCCCAGTTTATATATTATATTAATGTTAGCTATAGGTAGTTTCTTTACATTCGTCGTAATAAATGATGCTTGAATCAGTTACTTTACTTTTATGTAATAACCTATATACTAGTACATGCCTATTATAATTTACTATATATCTAAATTACACATATAAAATATATAAACACGTATTTTACCGTATAATTACACAGTTACTGCAGTTATACTCGTTTAAATGTAATTTGAAGTGAAATGTAATATTTGATAGTACCTAACTAAACTTTTGAGTTCACAATAATAACAATTTTAGTCTATTTTCGATATTTAAACTTTTAAAGTGAATGTACAATTCATTAATCA